GAGAGAGAGAGAGAGAGAGAGAGAGAGAGAGAGAGAGAGAGAGAGAGCGAGATTATCGCATATTTGTATTTCCTTTGATGGTGGCACGGTGTGGCCGAATACATCCAGGTGAATAGCAAAAAATACGTTGTTTGCTGCTCGTTAGCTCAATGTGTTGGAATTTAATTGAAATGTCACCGAATCGATCACAAATATCACCGCACCGAAAATGAATTGACCATTTGCATTTTTAATTAACTCTCACACGTGTGCAATCTGCAACATATGTCATATCACACCTTCTCTACCCCGTTGTGTGCGGGCAAGCCACACTCGAACGTTTTACCTACGATTCGATTGTAATCGAATCCGAAAAAAAAGCCACACTCGTAACACAATCCGAACACAGTTTGTGTGCACATGATACGGCAACAATTATTGCGCAATCGAAAATCAATTGGATTCATTGAGATTTTATTGAGCGAGAGAGAAAAAAAAAACAACGAGACAAATCCAATAAAATATTATATATTTTATTTTATGTAAAACGCTGCAAACGCTTGCCACATAATCTCTGATCAAGCAAAAGGTCGTGTTTGTGTGGATATTTTATGAACATGACAACTACCAGATACCTTATAAGTAGGAGAGAAAAAACGCGACCAAACCAAATGTATGATTTGTCGTTTAACAGCCGTTTTTCATGCGATTTATCGAAATGGTGACAACACACTCGAAAAAAAAACCAACACAAAATCATTGGCAATATTTTTTGAGCATTTCTATTTGCATAAACATGATCGAATCGTAAAAAATGTGATACTTTTGCGTTCAAATCGCATTGCGAATAAATAAAATTTATTGGCTACTGATGCCAATCAATTCACCTTCATACGTTTCGCATTTTACGAGGACTACAATTTTTTATTTCCCTGTGAACACACACGGCTTTTTTTTTCAACAAAAAAATACATTCATCAAATCGTTTCATTCAAATTCGAATAAATAAATACTTACAAAATTGTCTATTACTTACGTTATGATGCAACCTTCCGAAATGCAAAAACCCATTGAATAAACATGATGATAAAACGGCACGATAAGAACTCATTCATTGAATGCATACTTACATTACAAGACCTTCGCTGAATCACACTGTGTTGACCGAGTATTTTCACCGCATTGACGTTCCAAATCAATAATTTATGACAGCTTTCCAAGCGGAAAGTGTGAAATACTTTGAATTAATTGCATTCATTATACACAATTTTATCATCTTCACTGCTGCGAAAACAAGTACACAAACACACTGTGTGATAAACCTCAAATTAAAAAGCCGATAACAATAAACCTCATTAAAATAAATTAAAACAAGCCATTACGCCCTTTTTTTGTATTTGGATTTTCATTTTTTTTGCCATTGTCTTTATTCACATTATTTTCAGTTGGTTTTTAAATATAATTTTTATTTCAGCGGTTAAAATTACTGTGTCTGTTTGTTTGTGTGTATGTGTGTGATGTGTTTGTCAATGAAACGAAATTGAAAAAGAAATCTCGAAAAAAATTGATGAATATGTAATACGACGGTGCGACTTACGATTGTAACCACCGAAACTTATTTCGCTCTCTTAATTTCTTTAAAACAAACAAACAAACAGAAAAAAATTACAACAATAAACAATTCTTCTCCTCTACTACACGTCTGGCATACAATTTTCTCTTTCTATAATCTATCGCACACGTCGTTTTACAATCAATTAGTTGTTTTTACAGCAAATTGCAATAATTTCTATCGTTTAAATATAGATTTCCATTTTATGTGTGTGTTTGTGTGTCTGTGTTTTGTTTTTTTTTTAATATTCAGTTCCATATCACGATTTTAACGAAGATATTACTAGATGTCACATTAACTTGCTTATTAAATTTTTTTTTTCTTTTTCTCAATTTTTTTCTCTCATTTGCTCCATCTTCGCATCAAAAAATGATTATTTGTTAAAATTTACAACATTTTACAATTAATTTTCGAAATCTGTCAATTATCATCATCATTATTATTAGCAATAATCACGAATTACATTAATATAATAGAATTACATTGTCTCTCTGTCTAAAAAAAAGTTATTTAAGCGTTTATAGACATAATTTATGTGTTGTTGTTGTCTTCTTCAAAGAAAAACTGAAATATAAAAAAAAAATGACAAATAGAACGAGAGATTGTTGTTTGTTTTTTTTTTCTTTTCTTTTCTTTAATTATTTTGGTTACTTAAATTGTTGGCGCGCAACTATGGATGCATGCCAGGCGATGTGCCCAATCGTCCATACAGTGAGTATGGTGAAAAATAGGGAGCTAGCGATGGATGTGGCAACGGTAAACCGGCTAACGATGGATGCAAGCTCGGAGATAGCACAGATGGTTTGCTGTATGGATGATACCGACTGCCCGACAATGGGCTCAATGGTGGCGTTGGATAGGTGCGCTGAAGTAACGGATGTGTCGGTGGTAGTCCAGCTGTTGCCGGATTAAGCATCGACTCAGTATGTGATCGCAGCATTGATTCGGGCATCGATGCGGTGTGTGTTCGCAAATGTTGCAACAAGTCATCGGATGTTGAAAATCGTTTTCCACAATAGGCTGCATCGCCAGCAATCCAATTGCAAATGTATGGCATCTGAGAAGCAGCAGCCAATGCTGCCAATTGTGCATGGGCGAATGCCTGTGACATTTGATGGGCATATGATGATTTTGAGGCAGCAGCGGCAGCGGTTGTAGCCGCCGATGGTTCGCATTGTGTGCAGCCGGTGGGGCATTTACCGATTGGATGTGGATTCAGTGAGCAACCAGTACAGAATGGATCGCGACAACCGAGTGTTTCAGTGCCATTTGCACCGGACATTTTCATGCGATTGGCATAGTTCAAGTACGGATTCATGGAGGCAGCTTTGAGCATTGCATGATGTGGTGACATTAATGCACTGGCCGCCATCAAATCCATTGGATACGGTAAACCCGGACCGTATGCACTGAAAAATTGTGGCACCGATGTTGGTGCTGTGCTGGCCGATGTCAATGATGTGCTCGTCTTCGGATACAATACCGACGATTCTTTGGTTGCTTCAGCTAATTTTGATGCACTATACAATGGACTCTCCTGAGCGGAACGCGATGCTGCACTGCTCGATTCTTTCGATGTGACCGAGGCACGATGATTCGTGACCGCGGATGCTGATGGACTAGCACTTTTTTCCAAATTTATCGGTTGCTGCTGTTGCTGTTGTTGCAACGATGATTTACGTGAACTGCTGGTGGCCGGTGATGAACGTGGCGATGCAGCACTATGGTTTGATTCACATCGTCCATTCGATTGCAACGAATGTGTCAAATGCATTTGTTTTGGTGTTTTGATGCGATGATTATTGGTGATCGATTGTGTTAATCGATAATCTTCAGGCGTTGTGACCGAACGATCCCTAAACGATGGCTCGTACGGTTTGAAACTAGACTTGGGATGTGATTCACTTGAACTGTTCGACAATGATGACGATTGACTGCCCGGTGACGACTTATCGCGGCTATCGGATTTTTGCAAATTTTTTCCACTCTTTTCCATGTTTGCAATGAGCTTTGGATTGGGTGCGTCGGTGCCAATTGCGCTGCAAGTCTGTGCCAATAATGCCAATGGACTATTTTTTGCGTCCAACTGAAACGAATCATAAAAATTACCAATTTATTAGCACATTTTGATAGTTTAAAGTGTATAAATAGAGACAGTGAGAAGGAGCGAAAAAAAAGTGCTGAGAATTAACTTGTTTTTAATACGATTAAGTCAAGCGGTAATTTATTCGCTGTAAATATCTTATGTGTTGGACCATGTCGTTCAACAACAACAACCACAACACACACAAAAGAACCCAGTCTATTATATGGTCATAAGTTATTATCATCGTTTAATAAGTGGCCAGAGAGTGAGAGTGAGAAAGAGAGTGCTTTTGCCAATTCAGAATCATTTGAACTGCAGCTAAATTTGCTGCTCCAGTTTATGCACACAAGAGATAGAGAGAGCTGGTCTGTATCACATAGCCAACGTGATGAAGGAAAATGCGTTTCGTTCATATATGCGCACCTCTTATGTTATAAAACGTTTTCAACGGCACGTTGGCCTATAAATTTTCCAAATTTATTTTGGAGAAACAAGTTTTTGCGGTTGCTCATTTCTCTGCAAATATGAGCCAAAACAACATCAAATTATCTTCTGGATTAATTTTTTTTTCTGCTGCTACTACTGCTGTTGCTGCTCTGTGCTTTGCAAAACCGCACTCACCGGTCGTCGCTGTTCCTTTGGCTGTGCAGAAAACATGTAAATCGCAATAATTTCGGTTTGCTCGTCTGCGCATGGGGATATCATTAGTTCATATATTTATAACAAACAGTGTTTAATATGTGCATTTGGGCGAAAATACGAACAACTTTTTCACATACGCTCGCAGCAGATCACATTTAATAGCGACCAAAAAGTGATAAAAGAATTTAAGCGAGCGATAGAATATGAGAAGAAGGCACGAGAATAGCGAAATGGATACAGAAATAGAAAACGAGAGAGAGAGAGAGAGAGAGAGAGAGAGAGAGATAGAGAGAGAGAGAAAACGAGAGAGAGAGAGAGAGAGAGAGATATCAAATTATGAATGCGAGCAAAATGGCAAATGCCCATTTAGCCCGAGTGTCACGTAGAATTGGAATGTGACCATTTGAGAAAGTTTATAAATATCACACAAATGGTTTGCATTACATATTTCTAGTTTAATCCCATCTTAAAAATATAAATCCGTCACCGAAATAAACGTAAATTGTTCGAATGACTTCACTATATTCCGTTTGTTTGGTTTGCACAATATTATAATAATGATCATCGATTTGTGTGTGTGTGTGTATGTATGCGTTTCGGCCGTCGAATTCACGTTTCACATTTACCATACATATATGTGAGCAGTTTGTTGCTGCCCAGAAATGCTTCAGGGATTTATTTGTAGTCGAGTCGCAAAAACATTGGAGATTATTTGATTTTAAATCGCTTTTTACAATCCTTCCTATTCAAAACAATCTTCAGTTAACTGTTTTCGTTGCCATTTTATCTGAAGAGCTGAATGCTTAGCCGTTACCATGGCTAGAATGAATGCCATTTCTCTTCGAAAACTTTGTGCGCTCAATTCAAATCTAACCCAAAACGAAAACACCCAAAGTTCGACCGCATTCATATTGTAAATCCCATTTAATTTACTGCTGAGGATGTGTTAATTATTTTATGTGCGCATTTGTTTTTGGGACTGTGTGTATGCTTTGCATGGTGTGGGGCGATGTCGAGATTTTCGGTTGTTGAGAGTAGCTCTTTTTAGTGACATTTTCATTTGTTTTCATTCCGGATTTGGTTCGGATTTATCCAAAACTGCACGTTTATAAACTGTGCCATGCCTTTCTTCTCTCGCTCTCGCTCTCTCTCTCTCTTTGGGTATGTGCATGCGGTTTTGTTTGTTGTTGTTCTTGTTTTATTTCGAAATTTTTACATGCACGATTCTCTCGATTTCGATTTGAGTTATCTGGCCGGAGCCGTAACAGTGTAACGAAAACACATATTCACAGCAAAAGTTTAATCGGATATTGTCGGATAATAATAATGGTCTCTCCGAGCAAAATGTGCAAACTGCAAATCCCCAAAAATAACCGTTTTAGTTTACATAAAATTGTCGTTGAAAAGGCAACCGAGCACAGCGCTAGGGCAAACAAAACTTTGTGCTACCTCTTAACTCAGGTAATTATCGAGCAATTTAAAGTAGTCACAAATTTTAACCAGAGAAAGAGAGAGAGATAGAGAGTCACACACATATTTTGGCCTCACCTATGGTAAGAAATCACAACTGAACTTCTGAAACTGCACTAAAAAAGGAGAACATTGTGCAGATCTGTGAAACATCTGTTTGGGGGATATCCGAGATTTAAATTCTCAGCTTTTTTTTGCTTGTGCACATTTGTTTCTTCAACAATATTGATTTGAATGTCTGTGGAATTTTTCGGAGCCATCAATCATATTTCTGGTGTCAGGCCTGAGTTTTGGATAAAAATTTCGATTGTGTGTCAGTGTCACTTAATTTGAGTCAGTCATTTTGCGTGTCATTCTTCCACTTGGTTCCGGTTTTTGTTTCATTTCGACTAATATTAATTATAATTAAGGGTCAGAAGGACAATGGTAAATTGTCGACGACGGGCGTCGTCGTTTTTCCAATCTCCTTTCAACCATTCTATCATTTGTAATTAGAGTGAATGGATTTTTTTTCTTTCTCTTTTGGAAATGCCCGGTTCTTTCTTATTTGACCGTGTGTCATCAATCATTTAAGACAGACGAAAAATGATTGGTAATGACATTTAAAGGGGAGCAAATAGGTATGAACCGAAATGAAACACACAAACGAAAACAATGATCAAAAGATAAATTGATAAAAATGATTAATTGAACAAAGGTGAGGAAGAATCATTTTGTGCGTATAGATAGCGTCGAATGATTAAAATCGAATTTTCTATCCATTGTTCCCAATGGGACGGAATTTCGTCGAATAACTAATGATTTACTGAGTTCCTTCTCTAATTGCTACCTAAACCACACTTTTTTTTCCCTCATGTTTTGATGGTGATTTCTTAATCGTGTGATCGAAGAAAAATAAACGATTCGGTCGATGATGACAATTTCGAAAGCATTGCTCTTAGGGGAATCGGCTGATTCCATGGTGCAATTTCCGTTGTTATTTTCGTCGAGTTTCGATGATTTATATCCAAAAGTGTTAATACGTTTTTAATTGTTGACTTATGTTTGTCAACGCTTGCCTCACTGGCTTCGACCACACGACGTTGCCATTCGACAATCACAGAGTTCGCGTTTTGCGTAAATTGCACGAATTTCCTTGTCGCTTTCGCAGCTCGTAAATCATGGCAAAAGGCTGCAAATCTCGCGAAGAAAAATCACAGCCGAAAATCCATTTGGCGACACGATGCCAAAAATAACAATCAACACAGAACAAAAAAAAAATGTTTTAAACCCCAAAAAGAATGCGATCAAAAATCATTGTCATCATCGTCATTATAATTATCAGTTCGTTATTTTCATAAATATTTCGTAAGCATGAATTATATATAAATCAGTCACAGAACCTTTTGAGTGACACTATAAAATGCGAGATCGTCGCCGTCTTTTCTTTTCTTGCCATCGTCATCAACATACTTGAGCGGAGAGCGATTGTTGAATCATTCACACAAAACGAACGTCTTTCTCTCTCGCTCTTCGCTTGGGAAAATACATATTTTTCTTTCTGCACAATAAGAACGAAATATTTCTTTTGGATAGCAAAGAAAGAAGCAGAGATTGAGAGAAAAAAAAACGTGTGTTGAACCTGTCACATGATGATAATTAACGTCTGTTTATAAAAACAAAGTCGACAAAATAAATTAGGTGTTTTGTGACAAAAGCTGACATGGTCTGTTGAAAAATTAAATAACACACGCGAATGCTGCGAAAAACGCGCGCGAGTGTCCGAATGAGCAGAGAAGAGACGAAAAGAAGGAAGAAAAAAAGACTGTCAGGCAACTGAAAAATGAATATATAGAGAGAAAAAAAATGAAGAGAAAAATGAAAACTGACAAAAATGAACAGGCGAGCACGAAACAAACATTGACAAACGACACAAACGGACCGACGGACAAGTAAAATGGTAAACGAACCAAGACACACACACACATCATTCGTCGACAGAGCGACAAAAATTATTATTTGTAGCAGCATTTTCTTGACACATATGCTGCTGCTCTCTGTCGGAACGAGGCTAGTGAAACAAAACACACTATAAAATATGCTCTTATGAAATGAGTTTGTTTGTTTTTTTTTTGCTTGCGCCAAAAAGCGCCAAGACAAACAGAGATGACTGAGAGCAAGAGCGAGAGAAGGATAGTGCGACCGAATGAATTGCATGACAAATATTTCAGAATTAATGATATAATTTGAGAGTTTTGCTGAAATGATGGCTGTTGTCAATGTTGCAACGGTGCTTGGCCATTCTCGTCGTCGCACACATAATCATTATAGAGAAGAAATAATTAAAATAATTAATAAATTGTACGTTGGCTGCTACGGCGTTATTGTTTTTTTCTCCGTCGTTCTCTTCTCGGTTTCATTTTGCGGCGTGTATAATTTTGATGTCGACGATTATTTGAATTACACATTAGCAGTAAGTGTAAGTGACATCAATAGTAATTATTTGGTAATGTGATACGTATACGAAATGTGTATTGCCTTCTGTATCGCAATGCATCAAAATTAATCTGACTAATATAAATGATTTCAATATTTCCATTCCGTTCGATCGGGTGAGTTGAGTCGAATGTCAATCGAAAAACAACAAAACACACATACACAATCTCCGGAGACACTAATGAAATGATTAATGTCACGCAATCAAAGTCAACGTCGTTTCAATGCAAAACCGTGAGTACTCGCTTAACTTGCCCGCCGTAAATAGAAAAAAAAGTGTATATATTTTCCATTTGTTTTTCGGTTTGTTATAGAAATTAATTATCATTGATAAATTATCCACTTTTGAATTGCCCACAAATTGACAGCAACAATTCGTTTTGGCGTTTTCTGCTGTCGCTTGTTTCTCTCTC